AATGAACTACTGTGTTACACAAACAGCACATTACTCAACACACACACAGTCAGCTGAGCAGCTGCCTGGCCTGTAAGGATCACATCCACAACACTCTTTTCACCCAGCAGCATTATGCACGCACACACACTCTAATCTATCTTTATCACCTCCTAAACAACAAGTCCATCACAAACATGATGGCACCATAAAGGATGAATGGATTGATGATAGGATGAATAAATTACGTAATATTGATTATCTGCAGGTATTTATTTGTTGTTTACTGGCATCATGTGGATCACAGGTGATCTGAAGCCGTCAGTTCTGATATGATGGTGATTTCTCCTGTAAGACTGATGGCAAACTCTTCATTGATCAGGTGTTGTCACAGGTAGAGCACAAGGAATTTAGGCATATACTTCTTTTACTGTGTTTCTTTGACCCTATTTGAGGGTCCCTGTGATGACTTCTAAAACTGGATTATAATATACACTAGTTAACAGATATCTGTTAGACATGAATTAAAGATAACCTTCATTATATGACTGCTGATTGGTTTCCTCTTATGCTCTCCACACACTGCTTACCTGTATGCATACACACTGGGCATACATACAGGTACACACACTCCACATTCACTGATTACCTGTATACAAGCCTGCTCAAACACTGTGCCAACAACCAGAAAGATTCCCCCTGACCCACTGATCCCTTCCTGTCACAGTGTAATCTGAATAAGATCACCCTGACTCAGTGTGTGTTTATAGTGACAGAAACCTACACACACACACACATATACTCTGAGGCAACACGTGACTCTGCAGATCCATCTGTGCTGAATGAACACATCAGATAAATGCGCCACTGTTACCATGACAACGTACAGCATCACTAAGCTGAGGACACGCTTAGAAAGAAAAAGCTTGATGCTCACTTTGATACTGGAGGATATGAATCACACTCGAATAAACACACACACACACACACACTGTATATAATCACATTAGAGCTGAATCTCTGAGCAGATGGAGCAGGTACAGCAGAAACTGAGGGATCAGCTGAGAACAGGTGGAGGTGGGAGGAGTAACAGAAGGGTGGCTGGGCTGAGATGTATCTCCTGAAGCAAGACATGATGTAAAAAAGAACAGCATGGAAGTTGTGGACAGAGCAACAGACTCCAGCACTACAATGACATTTTTTGCCTTTATAAGCAAGTATAATTAATGCCATATTGTAGTTTGACATATTCACAGTATCAAATAAGAGTGGACAAGAACATACTGGAGAACAGAAAACGTAAACAGTTCAATTACACGCACGGAGATGGTAGCCACTCAACACTCCCACTAGCTCGAGGTGAATTCTCCTGATTATATCCTACTGCGTTCTCACGTTACAAAAAAAAAAAAAGAGCCGTTTGTGTTTACACATGCACCTCACCTGGAAAACGTCAGGAGTTTTTCATGAGTTTTGTGCAAGTGTGAGAGCACTAATAAACACACAGACACACACACTGATCAATGAGTGCAGGGAGTAAACAGATGTACAGATGGATAATCAGGGGCTCACCATAAAATGGAATCAACCAGTTTATATTGGATTAAATCAGATTACCAGGTAAACATGTAACACACAGACAGAGAGAGAGAGAGAGAGCTGCTCTAATCATCACTATCTGAGCAACTATAGTATAATCTGATCCTGTTAATTACATCTGCACACAGCTGGAGACACACACACAAACCTGCTCATGAACACACACACACACACACACACACGTCTGAGGGTCAGATGTGAAGTGTTACACAGAAACACACGGCATGGCGATATGGAACATTCCTCTCAGGACACACACCCCACACACACAAACTGACAGATAAGGTAGGTGATGCTGTTGCTCTGCAGCCTGTAGACAGACGTCACATGTTACACACCTACACTCATGAAGGTCAACATCACTCCCACAAACCAGCTCACACACTGACACTCACACGTCAGGTCTGTACACTACACACACTTAAAACCTTTTATTTGTGTGTTGATGACTTTGTAATGTCAGAGCGTGTGTGGTACATTAAATACATACATAATTAATTAATGAAGCTCAGAGTGAAGTCTTTAAACGTTTCTTCACAGCTCGCTGCTGATCATTGGACTTCTGTTGTGAACACACACACACTATTGTATCAGTGGTTTACTTTATCATCACAGTTTGTCAGAAATTCATTCATACAGATGATCTATGGATTTAGTCACAAAACATTGTCAAACGTTTTGTACAATGAAGACAGTGTGCAGAAGCTTACGTACAACTTTTATGAATCAAAACCAATAAATTATATTATATTTGATGTCTAAGACTACTGTTTTTTTTGCCGTGGTGTCAAACAGGTATTACTTTTACCTCTGCTTTGTAAGGTGACCTTGACTGCTTTGAAAGGCGCCTTCAGAATTAAAATAAAATTATTAGTATGTGATACTACGATCATATGAAAGTTTAAAATAGTGTTATTGTAATAACCCTAGTAAGAACAAATTGACACAGTTACAGTTCAAAGTGTAGATCAGTGATCAGGCTGATAGTCAGTAACATGTAAAGAAGAGTCTTGGTGAACTTTAAGGATCCTCTCTCCTCTTATTAAAACCTGTTCAAACTGTCAGGTCTCACAGGTGAACAACTACACCTGCCTCTGAGTCATACCTGGACGTGTCTGAGTGGTTCTTCTTTTAAGGTCACGTGTTATACACCTTTTTCAGCCAGTTTTAGTAAGTCTCAGAGGTCCTCAAAACATGTCTTTGGAGTGTCTTACTCAAGGTCATCTCTGGTCGTGTATTTCAGCATTGCTATTGACCCCTCTATTTCAGCCCTGCTCAGAACAGGCTGTTTCTGTGTCCGTAGCCTTAAATGCAAATGAGCTGTGTCTGACAACACACCTCTGGAAGGCAATGGGTTGCTTGGGCTTTCTTGCACCATGCCCTATTGTTCGTGGTTGAAAGGCAGACTCAGAGGACAGAACAAACAGCTAGCTGTGGTGGGAGTATCACCAACTTGGGGGAGTGGTTATTGCCCTTTGTGATGTCATGACCAAAATAAACATTAAACATTGTACTACACTACTCGCTTCATGATAGTAAGAATTTATTAGTCTTCAGAGTCATTAACGGTACTGGGAAAGAGTCTGTGCAGTCAGTGAGTTTAAAGACATGAATGTAATTAAAGAATATAGGAGACTTTGCAGATACGATGAAAACAGAAGAACTTGTAAAAATGAGGAATATATTTTTCCATTGTGGTTGTCGTTATAAAACTTATGGATTTATAAAATTTGTACAAACAGACACACACACTCTGAGTGTTTCTTAATGAGTCACCAGCATTTGCATTGTTATGAACAGGTTTCTGAGTAGTCACCTATATACCCTATTATTCATCACTTTAAACTGTCTGACTCCACAAACTCTTTCTGAGTGACTCTTTGTCTGTCTTAATATATCTGAAGACTTTGATAGTTTCTTATAATCAGTTAGAGACAGCTGTGGTAGGATGTTTGACCTTAGGGTCCACAAAAGTTGCTCCTGCGGAACATCTGACGAACACACACACCAGTAATTGAGTAGCTTATTAGTGTACTTTAACATGAATTTCACTTTAACTTGGGTATTTTACTTCACTACATTTCACATGGCATCCATTACTGGGTAAGGAAATAAAAATTAAAGCTAATTTCAAAATGTAGAGCTATTTAAAGTCCAAGTGAAGTCGTGGTTAACATCATGTACATTAATCTGTGAACACAATGAAGTGATCAGCTGCTGCTCAAACTAAATAACGACTTTGGAGAGAACTGGACAACCATACAAAGAGTATATGACTTAATTATAACAACTGCTGCTGCACTTTATGTCATAAAGCGTTCATTTAGATCATCAGCCTGGTTTTAAATATCCATTTATAAGTTTAACATAAAGACCTATTTACTTTGAGGTGATCCGTAGACTGGCACCTTTGAGGTACTGGTACTTGAGTCAAGTTATATCGGAGTGGCTGTACTTTCACTTGAACACTGTAGTAGTCTACTTGAACACTGTAGTAGTACTTGAACACTGTAGTAGTCTACTTGAACACTGTAGTAGTATATTGAACACTGTAGTAGTCTACTTGAACACTGTAGTAGTACTTGAACACTGTAGTAGTCTACTTGAACACTGTAGTAGTCTACTTGAACACTGTAGTAGTCTACTTGAACACTGTAGTAGTACTTGAACACTGTAGTAGTACTTGAACACTGTAGTAGTCTACTTGAACACTGTAGTAGTCTACTTGAACACTGTAGTAGTACTTGAACACTGTAGTAGTACTTGAACACTGTAGTAGTCTACTTGAACACTGTAGTAGTCTACTTGAACACTGTAGTAGTACTTGAACACTGTAGTAGTCTACTTGAACACTGTAGTAGTCTACTTGAACACTGTAGTAGTGTACTCTTTGCACCCTGGTCATCACCGTGTTTTTGAACTCGCCACACCCAGAGCTCCTCTCCCCGCGGGGCGGCGCGCTCTACGGGGGTTCACCGTGTGAGCTCCTTCAGCAGGCTGTGACAGAGCCAGCAAGGGCCTGGTCCACGAAGAGACCCGGTCAGAGAACCAAAACTGACCTGTGAGACATGGCAGTCTTATGAGAGACACCCCCCCCTCCTCCTCCTCCTCCTCCTCCTCACACTCACACAGCCCGCTGACTGCCTGTGTTAGCATGTTGATCCGTTAGCTAGCTTAGCTCTGGGAGGGAGCGCGTGATTTATCTTTATCAGCTTAATAACATTGTGATGTGTCAGAGAGAAAACTACACACACACACTGCCGGTTTGCATTAAACCCAGGACCCTAGCACTGCGCAGCTCACGTCAGTGTGTTAACGGAGCACCCCGGGTCTTAAACCAAACACACCCTTGGCTTTACCGTCTGTTAGCCAGCTAGCTGCTAGCCGGAGTAAAGTTTGTGTCATGTTGGTGTGAAACTCACCTCAAAGCTTCCTCTTCTTCTTTCTTCTTCTGGTGAAACGTGAGCGGGAACATCAGAGGCCACAGCACACATACAAACACACACACACACAACTCTTCACAGGCTAGCGGTGTGAGGCTAACAGGCGGCGCTGCTCTCAGCTGTGTTGTGTTTTGAATGAGGACCGACGGGACGCTGTGCTAACGGGGCGGAGCTTCAGTCCGCCCTTCATCCTCCTCCTCCTCCTCCTCCTCACGCCGGCTACCGTGTACCGCTACTCCTGCAAACACAGCGACGATTATAAAGTTACGCCGTGTTGGTTTCCGTGTATATATAACCGTGTACAGCCTGATCAGGGTGTTAATGTGTGAGCTGTGTGAAGACTGAAAAAGGCGCTGAGCTCAGACCGTGTGTGCTGCTGGCTCCCTCTAGAGGTCACACTCAACATTACAACACCTGAAGGCGCGTTCACGGTGGTATCAGAATAATCGGGAAAAGGGGTTTGAGTAGTGGGAGAGTTCACTTTAAAACTCTTAGAACCGCCACTGCATATTGGCTAAGCAAAATAAAATAAATCGCTAAAGTAGAATGTGTTTGTCTACTGAAAATAAATGATCTTTTGCTAAATATCTCATAAGCATTCAAAAACCCAAACAGATACGCACATTAACAATGTAGAGACTCAGTGATCATAGATTAGAAATTGAAACAGGTCGTCATGAGAATGGGAAATGTTGAGAAGAGAGAATTTGTAAAAACTGTAAACTGGATCAAATAGAAACATCTCATCTGCCAGCTGAAGCTGTAAGAAAGAGCTACCTGAGCCAGGTTACAGAATGGGATATTAGAGACTATATTTAGCCTAAATTTATCATTAGCTGCACAATTAGTAACTGATTACCACCAAATTAGACAAACCGTTAGTTAGTACTCTAATGTAGTTTATTCAATAATATCGTTGTAATTGATTGTATTTAATTTGAGGTATCTTTGCATGTGTGTATATAAGTTATATATATATATATATATATATATATATAAAAGCTATATCATAAATGTTTTGTATGTAATAGTATTGTTGATTGTTTGATAACTTTGCTTTGGCAACAACGGTTGTTTACCATTCATGCCAGTAAAACATCTTGAACTAACTTAAACTTGACGAGAAACTTTAAATTAATTGATGTAGGCCTATTACATCTTAATTTAAACTCACAATATAAATAATGTATTCATAGTTTAATTTAGAACATTAAAACTCATCATCTTTGGAATGTCACAGACGTTTCCACGTTATGACTCGAAGCTCGTGAATGCAACACAGTAAGAAGACTCTGAACATCGAGGAGCCCATGAATGCAGCAGGATTACTGAACATCATGTGTTGGATTAGTATGAATATGTCTCACCCACCAGGGGGAGAGGTTACTACCCTTTGTGCTGTCATGAAGGCAAAATCATCAAATTGCCTGTTTAAGGAACACGTTTTCTGAAAAGTGGAGTGACAAGCAATCGATGGAGAGAATTAACTTATCACATTAATGGGGGGTTCGAGACAGGCTAGGGACACATATTAGTGTTTGGAAACAATGGTAAAGTGCATTTAACATAGATAGATACTTTATTAATCTGGAGGGAAATTCAAATTTTGCACAATATGTGACATTTAAAGACAGCTGTTATAGTTTCACATCACATGTACTTTTAAATTTGAAAAGTGTGTTTAAATCCTTTCACCTCACTTAAAGCTCCCGTCGGGAACCTTCGGTTCTCTGGCATCTCCCTGTATCAACTTTGTCTTGTACATGAGTTAGTTGTGTCTTAAAACAAACCCCCTATCCTGCTTTCATCTCGTCTACATTGTCTACACACTGAGACGTCTCTTCTTTAAAACACTCACACACATCAATAAAGATCCTGATGCAAATTTAATAATAATCCATGGTCATTTAATTCAGTTCACTCTCCAAACTTGAGCTGCCTCTCCTTCTCTAACCCGTGCAATTCTCTGGCTCGGTTCTTCAGCTCCTCGGCTCTCTTCTCGTCCTTGTCCGTGCCGTCTCCCATTTTGTACATGCGGCTGGCATTGGCACAGCCCCACACATGTCCCAGCTCACAGGCTCTGTTGGCGTACCGCAGAGCCAGATTCATGTCCGGACTCAGGCCTTTAGCGTTTCCATTGATGTAAAGAGCGCTAAGGTTAAAACAGGAGGGGGCGAAACCTCCGGCGCATGCCTTCTCATAGTACTCTCGGGCGGCAGAGAGGTCAGGCTCTCCCTCCATTGCTCTTCCATCGTGAGCTAATAGAGCCACATTATGACAGGCGTCTGTGGACTTCTTCCCTCCAGCTCTGCAGGAACGCAGGAAGCAAGAGTATGCCGTCTTCAGACACTCCGCCACTCCACCTGGTTAGAGGAAACACACATTCACATGAACTACTTTAATACAACACTACGTTACAGATGTTGGTCTTCTCTAAACCTAAAGGTCGGGGGTTCAATCCCCAGCTCTTGCAGCCTCATGTTATAATGTCCTTTGGCAAGACACTGAACCCTGATTGGGTCCCTCTGCTGCGTCAGTGGTGTATGAATGTGATTGGTTAATACTGATGGACATTTTACAAAGCATTCTCTGCTATCAGGGTGTGACTCCTCTGCAGATGCATAAAACAGGGATCACACATAACACCTTTATTAGCCTACTTACACTGGCTTCTGTTCAGTTCAGAATCTCGTGAAAAAGAGGTCTCTGAACTCCGATCACCAGACAGCCCCCAGGCCCCTCACATCATGAGATCATAAGATCATCACATCATCAGATAAAGAAGTCTAACCGTCGATCAAATTAAAAACTTTTCAGAGACAGGGTCTTCTCTGTGGCTGCATCGAGACTTTGAAACAGCCTGGAAGATCGGCTGATTCAATGACTGATCCAAAAGAAAAAATACATGAAGAAGACTCACTTTTATTCTCTTACCTTCTCATATAGTCATTCCTTGCTTGATTCGCATCTTACCTTGTTTGATGAAAGCATTTTTTAAACTTGTTGTAAATCACTTTCACTTTGGTACTAACCCTGTTTGTGAACACTGTTCACACATTTTACTAACCGGACAGAAAAAACATATTTGTCCTAAAGACACTGGCCTTTAGGGTGGCTAATTTATGGTTGTTATTGTTGTTGTGAGTTCACCTGTGTGTGTTTTTACCTTTGCCTGTCACGTGGTACGCTCCAAGCTTGTAGCAGCTCTCTCCGTGTCCGTGTGTTTCACAGTTGTGTTTGAGCACCTGAGCTGAAGACACATAGTTCTTCTTCACACCTTCCAGGTAATCCGCGAGCCTCTGACAGCCTGAGCGGAAACAACGAGTCAAACATGAAACACTCACATGACCCTGTATTAACGTGAGCACGTGCAGCAGGTGAGAGCAGCTCCGTGTTACCTTCAGGGTCCTTCTCTTTGTAACACTGGAAGCTGTACTCCACCCCCAGATTATCCAGAAACTGCTTCACCTCTGCCTCATCCTCAAAGTTTATAAGCCCGGCCATCACTCTGTGTTTCTAGGTCTGATGCAAAGTCACCTGAATATCACCTGAAGGCTCCTCGCACACTCCGCTGCTGTGACCTTGATCGATCCGTCACTCTGCCATGGTTTAAAGTTTACACTACACTAAGTATCGATGCAGGTGATGATTGTACGGTAAAGTCGTCTTTAAACGCGCTAATAATCACAAATTAATCCAATTTCTGCGGACACTGACCGAGTCTGCACCACTCACGCCGCTCGCAGTCTTTTCCTGCTCTCGCAACTGTCCTCAGCGGGTTTCCGTAGACCCGCCCACTCTTGTGATGTACTTCCGGTGTCGTGACCTTTGTTTACTGTGTCAGTCTGGTCGCGCAGAGCTGACAGGTGAGAGCTGACAGATACCTGTCCGAGGAGACGGTCCTTCGCAGTTGCTCAGTTTATTTAAAGATGACGTCAGCGGACACGCTCCGACATCTCTGCGCGCACAGTGACGTCACACCGCGGAGACAACAAGTGAGCTAGCTGCAGGCTAACGTTAGCTGTTTACCGAGTGTGTGTGTGTGTGTGTGTTCGCTGTCAAACAGGTGAGGCCGACACTCAGGAGAGCGAAGCTACCTACCACACGGCTAACGGGCTAACGAGCTAACCTGTGGAGGAGAAGAGTCCTGAACATTAAACAGAGAGAGAGAGAGAGAGAGACGGCGTGCAGGATGTTAAACATGGTTAGCTTCAGTCTGTGTCTACCTGTAACACCTTCATCATCATCAGTCTGTGTCTACCTGTAACACCTTCATCATCATCAGTCTGTGTCTACCTGTAACACCTTCATCATCATCAGTCTGTGTCTACCTGTAACATCTTCATCATCATCAGCTTCAGTCTGTGTCTACCTGTAACACCTTCATCATCATCAGTCTGTGTCTACCTGTAACATCTTCATCATCATCAGCTTCAGTCTGTGTCTACCTGTAACACCTTCATCATCATCAGTCTGTGTCTACCTGTAACACCTTCATCATCATCAGTCTGTGTCTACCTGTAACACCTTCATCATCATCAGTCTGTGTCTACCTGTAACACCTTCATCATCATCAGTCTGTGTCTACCTGTAACACCTTCATCATCATCATCAGTCTGTGTCTACCTGTAACACCTTCATCATCATCATCAGTCTGTGTCTACCTGTAACATCTTCATCATCATCAGCTTCAGTCTGTGTCTACCTGTAACACCTTTATCATCAGAAGTCTGTGTCTACCTGTAACACCTTCATCATCATCAGTCTGTGTCTACCTGTAACACCTTCATCATCATCATCAGTCTGTGTCTACCTGTAACATCTTCATCATCATCATCAGTCTGTGTCTACCTGTAACACCTTTATCATCATCATCAGTCTGTGTCTACCTGTAACACCTTCATCATCATCAGTCTGTGTCTACCTGTAACACCTTCATCATCATCAGTCTGTGTCTACCTGTAACACCTTCATCATCATCATCAGTCTGTGTCTACCTGTAACATCTTCATCATCATCAGCTTCAGTCTGTGTCTACCTGTAACACCTTCATCATCATCAGTCTGTGTCTACCTGTAACACCTTCATCATCATCATCAGTCTGTGTCTACCTGTAACACCTTCATCATCATCAGTCTGTGTCTACCTGTAACATCTTCATCATCAGTCTGTGTCTACCTGTAACACCTTCATCAGTCTGTGTCTACCTGTAACACCTTCATCATCATCATCATCAGTCTGTGTCTACCTGTAACACCTTCATCAT